CACTTGAAATTATTATCTCAAAGTGGGAACACTCAAAATCGTTTTTACGGTCTAGTGTGTTACCAGCACAAAGAACGATAAAGGAAACCCTAAAACATATAAGCGACATTATTTTCAAAAGCAAATATAATATAATATATAATATATAGTAAAGATAGAGTAAATTTGTTTGGAACACATATTACGAAAATTTACTGAATGAAATTGCTTGTTTCTGAGTAAGTCCCAATGTTATTTGGGGCGACGTTTGATAAATTATTAATAATGCTGATTGTAATATTTAAATATTACTTTCAAAAATAATGTTTCTGAAACCTAAGTATTCAATAATTAGATTATATAAATAACTCTATTTACAACAGCCAAATTATATCGTGAACATGCTTACAAACATATATCATAATTGGTCTGACTTTGATGTTTTCCATGTTTTATTTGTCAGCCAATGGAAGAAACTACAGCAACATTACCTACTACGTAGTAGTGTGTGGTAAGTTCATAACATCAAAAGTAAGTTAATAAAATCAACGAATATTAAATCGATAAATAAATATTTTTGAGTGGATCAATAAAACATAGTCCCCGCTATGAAACATTGTATTGTGTCCTAATATATGTGTTTCTGTTATTCAGATATATGTGAAATATAAATTTAAATCGTAAATTTCAATTTTGTCTGTTGTCACTTGAAGTACTAAATAGTTATTGTGTATTTTGAAATGACAAAAAAAAATATAAAAAAACATTATTAATTTTGCCCGCACTTCTAATATGGAAATATCTAACCAATAATGTATTATTCGAACAGTTTGATCAAAAATTTCAAACAAAATGGCTCAATAAATTCTGAAAAATGTTAGCAACTCACTCGTTTAGAAAATTAATGCCGATTTTTATTTTGCATAGTAGCTTTTGAATGAATAACATAACTCGTAAAGAAACTGTGGCAAGAACATTTGTAAAAAGCTGAGATACACACTACAAGTAAATTGAAATATTATGGGAGCAGTATAAAGAATTTAGTCGTTAGGAGGGTGTCTTAAATATTATACTCTGTCTAAAATAAATAAAAAAAATGTGCGCTCATGTTCGAATTTTAAAGTGGCTATATGAAAAAATATCAGTATAAAGATTTTTACAACCAATGAGTGCTACGCACAAAAGGGGTCACCAAGATCACTAAGCGTTCTTGCTATCATACAAAAAAGGTCAAAATACGCTATGCCGAAGTCAGTTGTAATTCTGTCAAATTGTATAAATTAATATGCAATAATCCAAATTAAACTATATTGGTATCTTTTAGTGATTGGTGTTCTATGAGTTCTGTGGTTTGTTTCATGTTAAGTGCGACAAGCATGTAAGGTGTGAGCTCTGTTTGATGTTTTAGGCAAAACATGTCTTTTTTTTAATTCATTAGAATTGCTCTATTTAGCAAATGTTCCCATAAATGTATATCAATACAAACGCACAATACTGAATACTAAATGTTTTCATTTATCTTCAAGAATCAAAAACAAATAAAAAGTGTATTCCATTTTTCAGAGACGAAGATTCAACTACATGCTAAAACGCAACTGTCCTTGCATCGATGA